CTCCCCAAAGCGCAAGCACGACCAGGAGGGTGCCCGTGCTATTTTCCATCCAGGGCACCGAAGGAAAGTCTTCCTGGGCTTTAAGGAGACGGTTGTGAGGGGGGGATTGGGAGATTTACAGACCTCAGCGTTGCTTCTATGCCTGAACGATAAGGACGAGAATAGACAGATTTCACTGCAGATGGACAACCCTTCATTTGTGTTTCATCTCAGCTTTGTCTACCAGACAAATCCGAGACAACGAGGAGTGTTGCAGTATCTTTGTTTGCGCACAGAAATCAATGTTTGTACGAGGCATGAAAACGCTGACATGCCAAAGAGTGTCCCTACTTTGATTGAAGCAGTGCAGTCACAAAGGTTGGAGTCCACAAGTATTGATCACAAAGATTCAGCACGCTTTCCTGCAGGACGCTTCGCAAGCGTGATCGTGTGGTCTTTGACGACAAGAAGATGAATGCTTTTGAGGACGTTGAGCTGACCGGGCCGACCTCGTTCGATTCATGATGGCCGAATCGGGAGCCGAAACTGGCCCTTGGCCGTTTGCCGCCGGCTTCATTGGTGCTTGACTTCTTGAAATCACTCACAATCAGCATTCCTACCTCATGGTGCATGCGGCTCGGTCTTTGAACGCACTTGTCACAGCTGATGTTTGAATTGCCCAGTCTTCTAGTTTTGCAATGCAAATCCACAGACACGCAAACTGACAGAAACATGGTTTTGTGAGGGACCCTCTTTTCACCAGGACTGGCGCAAGAATGGCTCTGGCCCAAAAATGCGATTAAGAGACCAGGCACAAGTTCTGGGCAGAAGAACTGTTCGCTGGGAGCGATAGAGAACATGTTTAACTTGATTGTATACATAGTTTCCAATTCCCCAATAGCCATGCTATGGGGTCTTGCAAAACTAATAGGTGGACGGGCGCCGTCGGGTCACCGTCAGAGCTGGTGGGCGGACGGCGTCCCGGTCGTGTTTTGATGGTGTCCCGGTCATGTTTTGATGGTGTCCCGGTCATGTTGTGATGGTGTCCCGGTCATGTTTTGATGGTGTCCCGGTCATGTTGTGATGGTGTCCCGGTCATGTATTGATGGTGTCCCGGTGGTGTTGTGACGGTGTCCCGGTCATGTTTTGATGGTGTCCCGATCATGTGATGGTGGCGCGGTCATGTTGTGATGGTGTCCCGATCATGTTTTGATTGTGTCCCAGTCATGTTGTGATGGTGTCCCGGTCCTGTTGGTGATGGTGTCCCGGTCATGTTTTGATGGTGTCCCGGTCGTGTTGTGACGGTGTCCCGGTCATGTTTTGATGGTGTCCCGGTCCTGTTGTGATGGTGTCCTGGTCATGTTTTGATGGTGTCCCGGTCATGTTGTGATGGTGTCCCGGTCATGTTTTGATGGTGTCCCGGTCTTGTTGTGATGGTGTCCCGGTCATGTTTTGATGGTGTCCCGGTCATGTTGTGATCGTGTCCCGGTCATGTTTTGATGGTGTCCCGGTC